AAAGCCTGTGAATTAAAAAAAAAAATTTATCTATTTATGTGAGAGAGAGGGTTACAGAGAGAGAGAGAGGGAGAGGCGTGGTGGGTTAAGCTGCCACTTGGGATGCCCATATCCTCCACCCAAGGGCTGATTCCAGTCCAGATTATTCTGTTTCTGATCTACCTTTCTGTTGATGTGTTTTGGAAGGCAGAGGATATTTGCCCAACTACTTGAGTCACTATCACCCATGTAGGGACCTGGAAGGTGTTCCAGGCTCCTGGATTCAACCTGTCCTAGCCTTGAATGTTAGTAGCATTTGGGGGAATGAATCAGTAATGGAAGATCAATTGATCTCTCTCTCTCTTTTTCCCCCATCTCTCTCATTCTTTCTTGTCATTCTGCTATTCAAAAATAAACAAATTGACTCATTTTTTAAAAAAATCATTTTTTAGTATTTACAAAATATAATTAATCTCTAATCTATAAGGTATACTATTTTAATATACATATAAAGAAGAATTACATGTAGAGCCAACCTTTAAGGGAAATAAATAACAGTGATTTTTAGGAAACAGAACACACAACCAGTTGACATACAGTAACAAGTGAATTATGAAGGTGTTTTATGAAATCTAATCTTTTGACACTGCTTAAGCATTTTAAACTTTAAATATTTCTTCAATATTAATTTAGAGTTGGTACTGAGCACACATTAGAGGAAGGATTTGAGCTAAAGAAGAAAGGACAGCTGGTGCTACCAAAATAGAATATTTTAAAAAGATGAGACTGAGACACATTTATTTGTTCAGTCAAGTGCTATCTATTATCGGTTGTCATAGTGGCTTGATAGTAAATTGACATCAATTAGAGAAGATAAAGTTACACCTTTCTTCCTCTAATATCAAATTATATGTATTATGATATCATTTATATACACAAACATGCACACTCATATACTCATATGTATTTGTATATGTGTATATACACACACAGTATATACATATGCAGTTTCACATTCTCATATACATTTGTAACATATCAAGGGTTCATGTAGAATGCATATTATGACAAAAGTATGCATGGATTTCAAAACATTCACACCAAGATAAACTTACCTTTTAATTCCATTTTTTGACGTTCACTCATATATAGTACTGAAAATAGAGGAAACTTATTTGCAGTGGTCAAACAACAAGAATATTCTCAATACCCATTACTCCTCTTCCTCACTGTTCCTTTTCTCCCAAAAAACATAACAAGAATAGCAATTTCTAATATGATCCTTTATTCTGACTTCATCACTCTTTAATTTTTCAATTCTATATACATGACAATGTGCAGTATGTATTGTCCCTTAACATAATTTTTAATCAATATTAGATTATTTAGTAATATATATAATATTTTAAGCTTCATCATATTCAAAGGAAATAGTAATACTCAAATATTTTGCTGCCTTTAGCAGTTGTTTCCATACCATATAGTATTTCATTGTTTAAATATACTGTCATTTAAATATTCATTCTTGTGCTGATGGACCATGTAATTTTTGCAAGCTTTTGGCCATTACTAATACTGCTCTTAGGAACAATTTTGCATGTGTCTTTTGGTGCATATATGTATAATTTTTAATATACATTGAGTGGAATTCCTTTCCTAAAGCATGTACTTCTTCAACCTTAGAAGAAAATGTCGTCATTTATTGTAAAATATTTTGTTTTGTTCTTTTTTAAAAATTATTTACTTATTTATTTGAAAGGCAGAGTTGCAGAGAGAGACAGAGAGACAGAGAGAGACAGAGAGAGATCTTCCATCTGCTGGTTCACTCCCCAAATGACAGCAATGGCCAGAGCTGGGCTGTTTCAAATCTAGGAGCCAGAAATTCCTCTGAGGCTCCCACCTGAGTGCTGTGGCCCAGGGAAGTGGGTCATCCTCCACTACTCTCCCAGACACATTAGCAGGTAGCTGTATTGGAAGTGGATCAGCCAAGTCTTGAACCTGTTCCCTATGGGATGCTGGCACCACAAGTACTTTCTGTGCCACAGAGCTGGTCTCTGTTTTGCTATTTTCTCTGGATATTCTATGTGTTATTGAAAGAATGTGTTTTCTGTTGATATTTTGTATAGTGTTCTATATATTTCAGTTGGGTCAAGTTTATCAATTACATTGTTCAAGTTTCTTCCCTATTTATGTTTTATTTTTCTGTTGATTCTTAGCCCAAGAATAATCTATGTTAAGATATTTTCCTATAAATAACACTCTATTTTCAGACACTGGCATTTTTTTCTTATATATACATTATGTGCATACAAATATGTATTTACATCTTTATCCCATGTACTAAAAGTAGGTTAATTTTACCCTTTGGTGTATGTTCACTTATTTCTAACAATGATTTCTTGTATAAGTTTTACTTTGAATGTGATGAAACTTAAAAACTTTCCTTTGATTAGTGTTTCTATTCTGTGCATCTTTTATCAAACTTTAATCTCAATCTTGCTGTACTCTTTCAATTTAGAAATTTTTTGTTAATGACATATTATTATGTATTGTCATATATTTTCTTTAATTATTACACGTAGACCAGTTAGAGTTATTTAATTATTGACTTATTTGTACTAAGTTCATCACATTCCTAATTTGTTCCCTACTTATCCCTCCTCTTTTTGTTCAATTTCTGTCTATTTCACTTGAATAAGATTATGTGTTCAATTGGGTCCATTTTCTCCTCTGTTAGTTGGCTAATATTCTTCATATATTTTAGCATTAGCATATTAATTAATACTCTTACCTTGCTCTTAAAATGTTCAAAGGATTTACCACACTTTAAATGATATTTGTTGTGTTTGTTGATTTTCATTCTGTCTATATATATATATATATATATGTATATTTAAGTGTAGGCATGTGCATAAATATTAGTAGATTTTTATTAGTTTGCATAGTCAATGCTTATTTAGCTTTATCCTAATATATCTTCCTTTTTGTCTGTATGAAAATTAAACCAATTTATAGTATGGTTTATAACCAACCACAATGTGTAATCAGATCTTTGCATCTTACTGTTTAGGTTTTTTGGCTCAAGTGGATCATACTAAAGGAAACTTTATTTTACCAATCAATCTAGAAGCAACTTGCTATTCTTCTTCTTATTATTATTATTTATTTATTTTTTTTTTTGGCAGGCAGAGTGGATAGTGAGAGAGAGAGACAGAGAGAAAGGTCTTCCTTTTGCCATTGGTTCACCCTCCAATGGCTGCCGCAGCTGGCGTGCGGCGGCCGGCGCACCACGCTGATCCGAAGCCTGGAACCACGTGCTTCTCCTGGTCTCCCATGGGGTGCAGGGCCCAAGGACTTGGGCCATCCTCCACTGCACTCCCGGGCCACAGCAGAGAGCTGGCCTAGAAGAGGGGCAACCGGGAAAGAATCTGGCGCCCCGACCGGGACTAGAACCCGGTGTGCCGGTGCCGCTAGGTGGAGGATTAGCCTATTGAGCCACAGCACTGGCTGACTATTATTATTTTCAAGATTAATTTTCTGCTTGGAATCTTTCTATAACATTGTCTTTTGAATTTATTTTTCAATTTATATATTTCTTTTCTTTGCACTAGGATAAAAAACAATAACCATGCAATCTAAGATATCATGGGTTTCTTCATTTCAAGTTATTATCAATGGTAATTGAAAAAGAAGTGGTAATCTTGGAACTATGAAACCCACAGACTTTCTATTTGTATTAATGTCAATGAAATAGGTTATAGAGATTTCATATTATTGTCAAGGTTTATCAATATTTTTACTGTCGCTATTTCTGGTGATGTGATTGGAAGTCAAGTATATGATTTTACTTTAAAAACATCATAAATAAGGCTAAATGATCCTACAGAAGAAATGGAAAAAGATACCTGGATAGATCTCATTGAGTAAGGAAGAGAGGATGGGAAAGAAAAACAGAGCAGTTGCTTATTAAATAACAGCTTGCATACTATAGGGTGAAAGATTTTAAGTACTGTGCAATTTCAAACTTTTCCCTCTGTACTCCTTAGAAGTACTCTGCAAAGGGGCCAGCATTGTGGCACAGTGTTTAAATATAACTGAAAAGTGATCCCTGTTAAATGTAAGAGTGGGAATAAGAGAGGGAGGAGATGTACAATTTGGGACATACTCATTCAGACTTGCACCAAATGGTAGAGTTAGATATGTGCCAGGGGATTCCAATTCAATCCCATCAAGGTGGCATGTACCAATGCCATCTCACTAGTCAAAGTGATCAGTTTTAGTTCATAATTGATCATAATGATAGGATTAAGTGTCAAAGGGATCACATAAACAAGAATAGTGTCTACTAACTGACAGAATTAAAAAGGAGAAAACAATCCAACATGGGAAGCGGGATACACAGCAGGCTCATAGAATAGCAGATGTCCAAAACATCACTCTGGCCTCAGAATCAGCCCTGAAGGCATTCAGATCTGGCTAAAAATCCCATGAGGGTATTTGAGGCATGGAAAACCAAGACACTCTGGCAAAAAAACAAAAACAAAAACAGGTCATCAAAGAAGGAGGTTCCTTTCTCTGAAGGGAGGAGAGAACTTCCACTTTGAATATGACCTTGTCTAAATATGATCAGAGTCGGTGAACTCAAAAGGCTTCCATAGCCTTGGCAACTCATGAAAGAGCCTAGGGTGGTTACTGATGCCATAAACAAGAGTGTCAATTGTTAAATCAACAACTGGATTCTCTGTGCACTTACTCCCCATGTAGGATCTCTGTCCTTAATGTGTTGTACTATGTGAATTAATGCTATAACTAGTACTCAAACAGCACTTTATACTTTGTGTTTCTGTGTGGGTGCAAACTGTTGAAATCTTTACTATGTATATATACTAAATTGATCTTCTGTATATAAAGATTATTGAAAATGAATCTTGATGTGAATGGGATGGGAGAGGGAGTGGGTGATGGGATGGTTGTGGGTGGGAGGGAGGTCATGGGTGAAAAAAGCTGTTATAATCCAGAAGTTGTACGTTGGAAATTTATATTTATTAAATAAAAGTTAAAAAGAAACAGTGGATGAAAGAATGTCTGTCTCTGTCTCTCTCTCTCTCTCTCTCTCTCTCTCTGTCTCTCTCTATATATATATCTCACTTTCTGTAACTCTGCCTTTCTTTCAAATAAATGAAATAAATATTTAAAACAAAAAATTCCAGAACCATGTTGCTGAATCTGTGGGAGTTGAAAAAGAGCCTTTGAAGCAAACAACAAGGTTGAATTAGACCTCTGATTGGAGAGCTGAAGTAATGGATTCAAAAATTGGTACCAGGAGTGGGAGATTCAAGATGACCAAGTAGAGAAATGCAGTGTTTACCTGCTCCTCCACTAAGATACTCCAAAGCAGCTATGTCAAGGGTGAGTACAGCAGGAAGAGAACCAGGGATAGTAGGAGAGAAGTAGGAATACATTGGGGTATCTGTAAAGAGCACAAAGCATTGTCAAATGTCCTGGACCAGAGTCTTTGTGTTCCCTGGGAAAGGGCGAACAAAAGATTATAGGCAGAGGCCGGTGCTATGGCTCAATAGGCTAATCCCCTGCCTGCGGCACCCCAGGTTCTAGTCCCGGTCAGGGTGCTGGATTCTGTCCTGGTTGCTCCTCTTCCAGTCCAGCTCTGCTGTGGCCTGCGAAGGCAATGGAGGATGGCCCAAGTCCTTGGGCCCTGCACCCGCATGGGAGACCAGGAGGAAGCACCTGGCTCCTGGCTTCGGATCAGCGAGGTGCGCCGGCCACAGTGGCCACTGGGGGGTGAACCAATGGAAAAAAGGAAGACCTTTCTCTTTGTCTCTCTCTCTCTCATTGTCCACTCTGCCTGTCAAAAAAAAAAAAAAAAAAAAAAGATTATAGGCATAGCCTATTGGTGGGAACTCTTACCCCATTATCCTTGGAGAGGTATCCTGCTCTCACAGACCAGTATCTCAGTGAGGAGCACTCCCTGGAAAATTCAGTGCTTCTGGACTTCACAGAAGGGGAAGCTAAATTGTTACCTAGGAAAGTTCCTAGGTTAACTCTATCACAGGTTTAGATGGGTTCCTATATGCCACTTAGTCTGTAGAGACTTAGAGCTCCTACACACCAGGGATGGCTCTCACAATGAGGACAGAGGGTCATTGTGGAGTAAGTCAGTGCTCTGAATTGTGAGCACATTTGTGCAATTGAAGTGTGCTGTCACAGGCACCACGGCTCACTAGGCTAATCCTCCGCCTTGCGGTGTTGGCACACCAGGTTCTAGTCCTGGTCGGGACGCCGGATTCTGTCCCGGTTGCCCCTCTTCCAGGCCAGCTCTCTGCTGTGGCCAGGGAGTGCAGTGGAGGATGGCCCAGGTGCTTGGGCCCTGCACCCCCATGGGAGACCAGGAAAAGCACCTGGCTCTTGCCATCGGATCAGCGCGGTGTGCCAGCCGTGGTGGCCATTGGAGGGTGAACCAATGGCAAAGGAAGACCTTTCTCTCTGTCTCTCTCTCACTGTCCACTCTGCCTGTAAAAAAAAAAAAAAAAAAAAAAAGAAGTGTGCTGTCACCTTGAGCTTACTTTAGCTCACTTGGGCACAGAGGAAAGGTGGGACTCTGAGCACACTCCTCCTATTGACTATTGCCAGAGGTGCTTCACCTGGCCCATCTCCAGTGTTAGTCTCACCCTTTCCCCCATCACAGTGGCTGGATTACTTTGGCCCCAATGAGTACACACTGCTGGAGCTCAGGTTCTTACCTGCTCTACCTGGCCCAGCAACACCTCACCATTCAGGACTTCCAAGAGAGCTTGTACTGTGCCTAACTACACAATATTATGGCATGCTGGATTCTCTGGTCTAGAAAAGCAACACTTCTCCCAGGCATAGCATGGGACTCAGAACTCCATGTGGGTGAAATAGTGGGTACAGGAGTCCAAGCAACTGGGTCATCTTCCAGTGCTTTTCCAGGTGCATTAGAAGGGAACTGGATTGGAAGTAGAGCAGCTGGGTCTTGAACTAGTACCCATATGGGATACCAGTATTGCAGGCAGTGGCTTAACCTGTTATGTTAAAACAAAGTTCCTGCAGAGTGACTTCTAAGATCAGACATATTCATAATTGTGAAAAACAAAATTAAATACCTTGGGATAAATTTAACGAAGGATGTGAAAGATTTCTACAATGAAAATTACAAAACATCAATGAAAGAAATAGAACAAACACACAAATAGAAAAATATTCAATGTTCTTTTTTTTTAAAAGAATTAATATCATCAAAATATCCACACTACTCAAAGTCATTTGAACATTCAATGCAATCCCAATGAAAATTTCAAGGACATTAATCACAGGATTAGTAAAAACAATACTGGCTGGTGCCGCGGCTCACTAGGCTAATCCTGCACCTTGTGGCGCCGGCACACCGGGTTCTAGTCCCGGTCAGGGCGCTGGATTCTGTCCCAGTTGCCCCTCTTCCAGGCCAGCTCTCTGCTGTGGCCAGGGAGTGCAGTGGAGGATGGCCCAAGTATTTGGGCCCTGCACCCCATGGGAGACCAGGATAAGTACCTGGCTCCTGTCGCTCCCCCTCTTCGTGGAGGAACAACACAGGACCCTGCGCTGTTCTTTCGTCTGCTCGGCCCTCCCCGGGTTTGCTGCTGGTTCTTCCCGGGTTGGCTACTATCCCTTCCACCTCCATGGAAGGGCAGCTCCCCCTGGCCACATTCCCCACTTCCGCAGGGGAGCGGCACACCGCCGGCCGGCTTTCTCGGGGGCTGCACAGGTGTTCCCTCAGATGTTCCCTTTAGATGTTCCTGGTGCATGCCGTCTCTCTCCTCCTTTATAGTCCTCCTCTGCCAATCCCAACTCGGCTGCCCACACGCCGAGTACGCTGCTCTCCTCCAATCAGGAGCAAGTCCTACAGTTTATTGGTTGAACTGGAGGCAGCTGTACAGAAGCTGTTTACTTCTCTCCCAGCGCCATATTGTGGGAGAGCAGATGCATAGAATAAGTCTTAATTCCAGTAACTCAGTCCAGTCCGGGCTGCTCCCCACAGCTCCTGCCATCGGATCAGCGTGGTGCGCCGCCCGCAGCGCGCTGGCCGTGGTGGCCATTGGAGGGTGAACCAACGGCAAAGGAAGACCTTTCTCTCTGTCTCTCTCTCTCACTGTCCACTCTGCCTGTCAAAAAAAAAAATACTAATACACTGTTTCATCCCCTAAAGTGTGCAACAGATGGGACTAGAGTTCCAGCCTAGAATTACATCTGGCTCTCTTACATGGGTGGCAAGGACCCAGGAAATCAAATACTTGGACCATCATCTGCTGCCTTCCCCGGAGCATTAGAAGGAAGTCAGATGAGAAGAAGAGTAGCCACCACTGGAAACAGTATTCTGAAATGGAGTGTGGATGCCCAAAGCACCAGCTTAACCAATTGTGCCACAATGGGCACCCCAGAACTTTTATATATACTAGGAAAACTTAATTGAAGCCTTACTGCTCATAGTAAGGAATTAATATTTTATTATGAGGTGATAATATATTGTTTACTTATTTTAAGTATTTTATTTATTTGAAAGAGTTACAGAGAGAGGCAGAGACAGAGTGCTGGGTTCACTCCTAATCAGTTAACTAATTTTGTTGGCATGGCAGAGACACAGAGAATCTCTTATTCAGTAGTTCACTCTCCAGTTGCCTGCTTCAGTTGGGCGGCACCAGGCTGAAGCCAGGAGGGAGGAACTCCATCTGGGTCTTCTACATGGTTGACAAGGACCCAACAACTTAAGCTATCATCTGATGCCTCACAGGGTGCCCATAAGCAGGAAATTGCAATGGTGTTAGTACTTGAACCCATGCACTCAGATATGAAATACAGGTGTCCAAAACAATGCCTTAACTGATATGCCAAATGTCTGTCCCTTGTAAAATTTTTTAAAAACACTTATTTGTTTATGTGAAGGACAGAGTTATAGAGATGCAGAAGGAGAGAGAGAGAGAAAGAGAGAGAGAGGTCTTACATTGGCTGCTTTGCTCCCCAAATGGCCACAACAGTTGGAGCTGGGCTGATCTGAAGCCAGGAGCCTGGAGTGTCTTCCTGGTCTCCCATGCAGGTGCAGGGACCCAAGGACTTGGGTCATCTACTGCTTTTCCAGGTCATAGCAGAGAACTGGATGAGAAATGCAGCAGCTGAGACTTGAAGTGGGGCTCATATGGGATGGCAACAATACAAGCAGTGGCTTTACCCAGTACTCTACAGCACAGACTCACCTACTTAAAGTTTTTGAGCAAAGAGAGGGACAAATAAGTTTATTTATAATAGTTATAAGGATGAACAGAAAATAAATTTGAAGAGATGCATTATGGATATAGTGAAACTCTTTATAAATATAATTCCTTCATGAAACTAGGATTAGGGGAAATACTTAATGACTTGAACTGGGATAGTAAAATTGGAATAATCAGTTCTGGCTTGAGTTGCAGGAAATTTAAGAAATTAAGTGTTCAAACCGCCAAGGTGGAGCATGCACAGGCAGCTGGCTCTTGGAATGTCTGTTCTCTCTGTGGACCCGACAGGCTAGTGGGGTGGAACAGATCCTCTATACCACATGACCATGGGAGCCTTGTGTTCTGATACTGTGGGAACTTTGTGATTGCATGGTAGGGCACAGTGTGTAGCTGGGTCTCCAGGCAAGCTGCTTAATTATACCAGACCTTTAAAGAAGAACTTATTGTTTTCAAGCTATTTAAAACTGTTAAACAGGAGGGAATCCTCCAAAACTCCTTATATGAGACCTTAGTTACTAAACCTGAAAAATATGCAACAGAGAAAGAGAACTATAGACCAATATCCCTGATGAACATAGATGTAAAGTTCCTCAACAAAATACTAGCTAATTGAATGTAACAACCCATCAGAAAGACCATTCACCCAGACTAAGTGGGATTCATCCCTGGTATGCGTGGCTGGTTCAATATTTGCAAATCTAGGCTGGAGCCACAGCTTCCTAGGCTAATCCAATGCCTGCAGTGCCAGTACCCCTGGTTCTAGTCCCAGTTGGGATGCTGGGTACTAGTCCCAGTTGCTCCTCTTCCAGTCCAGCTCTCTGCTGTGGCCCAGGAGGACAGTGGAGGATGGCCCATGTCCTTGGGCCTTGCACCTGCATGGGAGACCAGGAAGAAGCACCTGGCTCCTGGCTTCAGATTGACACAGCGTGCCGGCCATAGCAGCCATATGAGGGGTGAACCAACAGAAGGAAGACCTTTCTCTGTCTCTCTCTCTCACTGTCTAACTCTGCCTGTCAAAAAAAAAATATTTGCAAATCTATAAATGTGATATGCCACATTTACAAACTGAAGAATAAAAGCATATGCTTATCTCAATAGATGCAGAGATAGCACTTGATAAAATACAACATCCTTTTATGACGAATATCTTAAGGAAATTGGGTATGGAAAAAACATTCCTCAACTCAATCAAGGCAATTAATGGCGAACTCACAGTCAACATCATATTGAATGGGGACAATTTGGAATTATTTCCATTAAGATTCAGAGCCAGAAAAGGATGCCCATTTTCATCATTGCTATCCAAAAGAGTCCTGGACATTTTATCCAGAGCTATTAGGCAAGAAAAGGAAACCAAAAGGATACAACTTGGAAAGGGAGAAGTACTTACTAAGGAGTGCACATTTTCCTTTCTAATAGGTTTTCAAACTTGTATTTGTTGAGCACCTACCCTGTACTTGGTAGTCCTCTAAGTATTCTACTTAATACTTACAATAACCCAATAAAGAAGGTACTTGTTTTAATTACTGTATTACAGAATGAAAAACAGGCAAAAGGTGGAGAAGTCCATAAGTGGGCCAAGGCCATGCAACTATTAAATGCCAGAATGTTATTTTTGGTGCAAATTGTCTAGCTCCATGCCCTTAACACAAACATTTTAGTCATCGTTTTTCTCTATGTGTGTGAATATTCTTCTGAATTATCTGCTTGATTTATAAGTACAGTGTTCATTTATAAGTACAAATGTTTATTAATTAGCCCTATAACATTTTTATTAATGTGCTTTATAATGTGATAAAATGAATCTTTGCCCGTTTTAGAATTGAAATAATTATTGTGTACTTTCATTCTTTTTTTTTTTTTTTTTGAAGGGAGATTTAGTGCGAGAGAGAGACAGAGAGAAAGGTCTTCCTTCTGCTGGTTCACCCCCAAATGGCCACTATGGCTGGCTTGCTGCGCCAATCCGAAGCCAGGAGCCAGGTGCTTCCTCCTGGTCTCCCATGCGGGTTCAGGGCCTAGCGCTTGGGCCATCCTCCACTGTCTTCCCGGGCCACAGCAGAGTGCTGGACTGGAAGAGGAGCAACCGGGACAGAATCCAGCACCTCAACTGGGACTAGAAGCCTGGGTACTGGCACCTCAGGCAGATGATTACCGGCCTACTTTCATTCTTTAAGGTAAATTTTAAAATAAATTTTTGAGTCCCTCAAGAGTCTTCTTAATTTTAATTTGGAATTATAGGAATTTATAGGTTAATTTTAGGAGCACTTTCATATGTACAATATTTAATTTTCTCCATAAACACAAAAATAATGCTTTTAGTCCATCTTATATCATTTGTGTCCATTTGTATTATTACATTTTCTTTCTTTTCCAAAATAAATTCTTTGTTAAGTGAATTTCTATTTTTTGTATATTGTAGATAATATCTAATACAACAGTAGGATACAACTAATACATAAAATTTTAATTTAAATAATTGCTATTACAATTTTCAATTTAATCTTGAATTGAGAATTTCAGCTGAATAATTCTAAAATTTTTCATTATATTGTTTTCAATGTGGTTAACTTTATAATTTTTAGTTAATGCCAGCTCTGTATGGCCCCTTCATTTATTTTCTAGTTTGTTTCATATTTTGGTTTCTTTTTGGTGCAAAATTTTTTTTTGATTTATATAAAGGAAACGAATTTCATGTATTTCATATACACAGTATTATGAACATAATAATACTTCCCATCCAACCTTAAATTCCTCCTTTAATCCCACACTCCCTCCTCCTCCTTTATTTTTCTTTTAATTTTTGCAATGAAATACTTTCAATTTATTTGATAATCATAAACTTAACTCTCCTTATATAAATAATTCAACAAGTAGTAAGTAAAAAGACCACTAATTTTTAAGAGTATATACAAAGGTTCTATACAATAATCAAATCTCAAAATGTCAATTTCACTCATATAACATTGCATTTTTTTGTGCTCTGTGTATTAATTACCACAAATCAGAGAAAACGTGATATTTATCTTTTGGGGAATGGTTTATTTCACTGAACATAATAATCTCTAGTTGCATCAATCTTGTTGCAAACAACAGGATTTCATTCTTTTTTCAGCTGAGTAGTATTCCATAGTTAATATATGCCACAATTTCTTTATCCAGTTATAAGTTGATGGGCATCTTGATTGATTCTATATCTTATGGTATTGTGAGTTGAGCTTCTATTAACATGGGGGTACAAGTAACTCTTTCACATGCTAATTTCAGTTGATTTGAGTTAATTTCTAGGAACGGAATGGCTGGATATTCATCAGGTTTCTGATGAATATCCATAGTGTCTTCCATAAATGTTGTACTAGTTTACATTCCCACCAATGGTGGATTATGGTACCTATTTCTCCACATCCTCTCCAGCATTTGTTATTTTCTGAGTTTTGGAAGATAGCCATTTTAACTGATGTGAGGTGAAACCTCATTGTGGTTTTCATTTGCATTTTCTTGATGACTAGTCATCCTGAGCATCTTTCCATGTCATCCTATGAAAAATGCCTGTTTACACCCTTAGCCCATTTTTAACTGTACTGCTTGTTTGTTGTTGTAGAGTTTTTTGAGCTCCATAGATATCCTGGATAGTAATCCTTTATCAGATGTATAATTTACAAATATTTTCTCCTATTGTTTTGGCTGCCTCTTCACTTTGTTGAATGTTTCCTTTGTTGTGCAGTAGCTTTTTAGCTTGATGTAGTCCAATTTGTCTACTTTTACATTCATGGCCTGTGTTTCTGGGATCTTTTCCAAGAAGTCTTTGCCTATGCTAATGTTTTGCAGTGTTTCCCCTATGATTTCCTCCGGTAATTTTATGTTATTAGGTCTTAGATTTAGATCCTTGATCCATTGTGAATTGATTTATGTATATGATGTAATACAGGGGTCTTTTTTCATAATTCTGCATTCACAGATCAAATTTCCCCAACACCATTTGTTGTAGAGATTTTCCTTTCTGCAGGGTGTCAATTTTGCTTCTTTCTCAAAGATTAATTGGCTATAGATGTGTGGATTAATTTCTGGGGTTTTGGTCTATTCCATTGTTCAGCATATCTATTCTAACACTATTGCTAAGCTATTTTGATTACAACAGCCCTGTAATATGTCTTGAAATATGGCATTATGATGCCTCCAGCTTTATTTTTATTGCTTAATAACATTTTAGTGATTCAGGACCTCTTGTTATTCTATACAAAATTTAGAGTTATTTTTCTCAGATTCAAAAACATCTTTGGTATTTTGATTGAGATTGCATTGAATCTGTAAATTGCTTTGAGTAGTATGGACATTTTGATGGTATTGCTCTAATCCATGAACACAGAAGATATTTTTCATTTTTTGTGTCTTTCATTTCTTTCATTAATGCTTTGTAGCTTTCATTATAGTGATATTTCACATCATTCATTAAATTTGCCCAAGGTATTTTAATTCTTTTATAGCTACTGTGGCCGGCGCCATGGCTCACTAGGCTAATCCTCCGCCTTGTAGCGCCGGCACACCAGGTTCTAGTCCCAGTCGGGGCGCCGGATTCTGTCCCGGTTGCTCCTCTTCCAGGCCAGCTCTCTGCTGTGGCCAGGGAGTGCAGTGGAGGATGGCCCAAGTACTTGGGCCCTGCACCCCACGGGAGACCAGGAGAAGTACCTGGCTCCTGCCATCAGATCAGCGTGGTGTGCTGGCCGCAGCGCGGCAGCCGCGGCGGCCATTGGAGGGTGAACCAATGGGAAAGGAAGACTTTTCTCTCTGTCTCTCTCTCTCACTGTCCACTCTGCCTGTCAAAAAATAAATAAATAAAATAAAAAAATGAAAAATAAAAAAAATAGCTACTATGAATGGTACTGATCTCACAAGTCCATTCTTAGTCATGGCATTATTTGTGTATACAAATACTATTTTTGTGTATTGATTTTTATGTCTTACAATTTTGCCAAACTCTCTTATGAATTACGATAGTCTCTTAGTGGAGTACCTTGGTTCCTGTGTGTATTGGATCAGATAATCTCCAAACAGGGATAATTTGACTTCCTCCTTTCCAATTTGTATTCCTTTGATTTCTTTTTTCTTGTCTAATGGCTCTGGATGAACCTTCTGAACTATATTGAATAGCAATGGTGAGAGTGGGCATCTTTGGTTCCAGATCTTGGTGAAAATGCTTCCAACTTTTTCCCATTCAATATGGGTTTGTCATATACTGCCTTGATTGTTTTGAGGTATGTTCCTTCTATAACCAACTTGCTTAGGGCTTTTATCACGAATAGATATTGTATTTTTTCTTATGTTTTATCTGAATCTATTGCAATAATCATATAGTTTTTGCTCTTCCATTTGTTAATGTGATATATCACACTTATTGATTTGCAAATGTTGAATCATCCCTATATACCAGGGATAAATCCCACTTGGTGTAGGTAAGTGATCTTTTTGAGATGTTGTTGGATTTGATAAGCTAGCATTTTGTTGAGGATTTTTGGATTTATGTTGATCAGCAGCGTTGTTGTGAAGCCCTTCCTTCCTGTGGAGTCACCAATGTGAAGCAATATTTCCTCAAACCATCATAATTTTCTTTGGAAATTCCTGTGTAAGGGCAGCAATTGTGGTGCAGTGAGTTAAACTCCCACTTGCAATACCAACATCCTATATGACAGCCAATTTGATTCCCTGCTACTCCACTTCTGATCCAGCTCTCTTTTATGTGTCTGTGAAGACAGTGGAAGATGGCCCAAATACTAGGGTCCCTGCAACCCACATGGTAGACCCAGATGAAAGCTCTTGGCTCCTGGCCTTAACTTGACTCAGTCCTAGCCTTTCCAGCCATGTGGGGAGTGAACCAGGGGGTGGATGATCTTTCTTTGCCTCTATCTCCCTCTCTCTCTCTCTGCCTCTTCTTTCTGTAACTCTGCCATTCAAACAAATAAATCTTAAAGAAACAATTCCTGTGGGACTTTATGTTTTGGATTAAAAATGTTTGAGGGCCATTATTTTTACAATTACAACCCTATGAATATTCTGGAAAAAAATGAAAGGGAGAGAATAAAGTTTTTGTAACTCTTTAATAAAACTTGGTGACTGGGGGGAAGGCATTTAACATGGTGGTTAATTTGCTTCTTGGAACACACACAGCCCACATTGGAGTTCAAGTGTTGGCTACTCTGCTTGGTAAGGTGCAGCCTTGAAGGCAGCAGGTGATTATAAAATACTTGGGTCCCTGCCACTCATGTGGGAGACCCAGATGGAATTCTGAAGTTCTGGCTTCAGCTTAGCCCAACTTTGGCTCTTGGAGAGTAAACCATCAGATGAGCGATGTCTGTTTCTGTTTGTCTCTATCTTTTTGCCTTTCAAATAAAATAAAAATAAAGAAATAAAGATTAAAGAAAAGATTTTGTTATTGTTCAAGAGATCATACAAAATTTACTTATAACATTGTTAATTGATCCAAATTACCATCCTATGATATTTCTATTTTCAAAAATCCTTCTCATTACATGCTCTTTCTATGGAAAAAAATAACCTACTTTGAGTACATTTAAACCTTATTGAAACTGAGTGATTTTTAGTTAAACATCCTAATAAGCCTAAAATCATTAAAGGTAAAATATCAAAAAATTCTTTACTTAGTATGACCTTTTTAACTACAGAACAAGATATTATAAGCCAATAAACTAAAAGACTCAGTGGGGAAAATATTTTCCTCCAAGTAGTTTGTATCATTAGTCATTTGAACTTCATATACATAGCATATTAAAAGGTTGCCTAGTTATATTTGAGTAAATATCCCTTGGTGGCTGTCCAATTCCATCATTTTTGGCCTGTTTTTCTTTTATACTTGAAAACCAGCACTTTGAAACTCAAATTTTATTAGAACTCAAATGATAAACTGTTTTTTTTATAATGGCAAATTATTTTTTCTTAACAATTTTCAAGAAAAATGTTTTTATACTTGTTATTTGAATACAAAGATAGTCTGTCTCATTTTACTAGTTGATATACCACAATTAGAGATTGAAACTTTAAATGATGAACAGTAATCACATGTATATATAGTTAGACCAATAAGATATGTGATTCTATTGAGAGCACTGGTAGAGGAAGCTGTTCTCTATTCTTTGCTCTGCAGTAATTATCTGTATAACCAGATTAGCCACTTTCCCCCTCAGACTTTAGTTTTATTATATAAACAATAGAGACAATGTCAGGCGCTATCTGACCTTTTCATTACCCTTAATTAGTAGGTAGATGAGCATATAATATAAGTATATTGCCTAACTGAAGAGAATAAAACATTTTTTTGAAAATTCAATGATCATAGTTTTTGAGTGGGCAAGATTTCAAGTTTGCAGGCAATTGCATGGAACATTTAGCACACTGTTTTAGCTATCAAATTTACATGATGAGATTTTCCTGGAATAAAATCTACCTAAATAAATTTCCAAATTACTCTGAGATTCTAATCTGATGCTTATAAATTATTATACAGACACAAGTGTTTGGGAGTCCAAGTTATTTTCACAAGTTGAATTGACATTCAAAAGTATGCCCTGGTCTCAAACCAGTCAGCTAAATGGACAATTACATGCACAGGATTATTATTAACCCCTTTTATTCAATATGCAGACCACCAAAACATTTGAATAATAATCTAATATTTGACATTGTAATTCAATTTAGACCTTTCTTAAAAAAAAAAAAAAACAGTAGACATAATGACCATCCTAGTGAAAACGTAAAGGTTAAATAGGCTCATAGAAATCACTTTCTGGAGTTGACGTGGTCCTCTGACACCCAGAGATCTATCATATAAACTGGAGATCAAAGTAGATCTCCAGCCCAAAACATTCTACCTAATTGAAGAACAAGAAAATGGTAACTACTCTCCTATTCCTAAAATTATAGCTGTATTGTTTGAAATCTTTTGCAAGATCTGTATTTTTGTGTCTGGTATGATCATTTCAAAGTCACCTGAGGGGAATAGAATAAAGTGAGTACTATACCAGGTGCTTTTCTGGCTACTTCAAGATGGGATAAAGTGATAATACAGTGAAACAAACACAGAATATTCTAATTACTGATCCCTTTTCCAAAAGAATTTTCAGTTCTTGTTGTCATAAGTGATAAACAGAAGTAATATAGGCTCAAATACTTTTGTTAGGAATTTGGTCCTTACAGTTTAGATATGTCCTTACAGAGTTTAGATAGATAATTATAAATAACGTAAGACTCTTTGAGACTACTACTTCAACTGATAAAATATATAAGGATAAAGTGATGTGCAAATATGATAATATTGAGTTGGAATGATAATTTTATCTTACCCAGATGAGACATTCTTGGCAATTGTACTGACTATTGCTCAAAACTTGGATAAATGTAGATAATTCCATGCTTTGCTTTGATAATTTCTTTCAACTCTGGTCCTTTGGTTGTAGGTCACTGGTTGATCTCTGAATTGCAACTTGGATAGGATCTAGGTATCCAAATATGAGATCTGGTACTCTTTCTCCCTCAATTCTCTGAGGTTCAATCCTTTTCATGCTGGTCTTTACAGACAATAGATACATTCCAGTTTACTTTCTGCCACCAAGAAGGAGCTTATCTTTTAACAGTTCAAAAGAGTATTTGCTTTCACTCTAACAAGGGAGTCTACCCCTTGGAAACACAACATTCTCTATGGAGAAGAAGAAAATATTATTCTCCCTGAATTCTTCCCTTGCAAATATAAGGTTGGACTGAGATGCCATGATGAGAATAAATTAGCAAATGATAGAGTATAGAGAAGGGTATTCTAAGCCCAGGGTATATAAGTAAAAGCTCTAAGACAGAAAGGAATTTCAAAATATTTGAGGAACAAAAAGGAAAGTACAATCATTTGAACACGAAAGATGAGGAGTAAGTTGGGAGAAAAAAATGATTGGAGGAACAGAATAGAAGTTTTGCATAATTCAGGGCCATGAAGTAAAGGGTGAAAGTTCATAAGTTCATATTACTCAGTATAAATGAACTGGAAAATATGTTAAGTCTTTAGGGATCACTATTAGTGATATGAGATTGCTTATAATATTAATAGATAAGTCTAATGTAATAAAGAAAGTTGATAAGGAGGATGTAAAAATAGAAGAAGGAACAACTATTTAAAGAAGTTAATGTAGTAATTCTAATGCAGGAATATGGCCTCTTAGATTAAAGTGACTTCAGTGGAGTGTATATTTTATATATGTAAAACTGGTGGAGGGAAAGTTAGTCATATTTGTTGGTAAATTGATATTTTCCTGGGGTTATAATTGAAGAGGGCACTTCAACTTGACAGGCTTATGAAATATGATTAAAGACCTTAAGATATTTTATATTTTATTCTGGGGCCAAGAAGAGAGATCTAAGATAGGGATATATAAGTTTGAAGTCCTTTTTATACAGAAAAAAATTTACGGCTACAGGGATGGATAAAGAGGACAAGTTTGAAGTAAACAGAGAACAAATAAACAAATACAGAATAATGCTAATGTTCAGAATTTGAGTAGAATTCAGAAAAAAGGAGTCTGAGAAGGAGAAAAGAGAGAAGCCAGAAAAAGACATCATCAAAGAAAAGGAAAGCTATAAAAAATGAATTTATGTCTTTCTTTAATTCTCTCTCCTTCCTTCCTTCCTTCCTTCCTTCCTTCCTTCCTTCCTTCCTTCCTTCCTTCCTTCCTTCCTCCCTCCCTCCCTCCTTCCCTCCCTCCCTCCCTCCTTCCCTCCCTCCCTCATTGTAGGTCATTGCTTTCTTCTTTCTTTTTTAAATTTACATATGAATTCCTTCATTCCTTTCTTCTCTTCTTTTTTTTTTAAATTCACATATGAGAACATACATTTGATTTAAATATCTGGCTAATTTCACATTAATAAAATGATGTCTTCTCCTATCCATTTCATTGCAAGTATCAGGATTTTATTCTAAATTGCACATTATTCATATTCCATTTTATGTTTACATCATGTTTTCTTTATCCATTCATCTGGCAATTTGAACCCAAGGTTCATTTCATATCTGACTATTGTGATTAATACTGCAATGATCATGGGAGTGTAATTATCTCTTTGATGTTCTGACTTCATACATTGAAATCAAAAAATAATAGATCTGAACTTACTAGAGACTGTGATGGGTGAGAGAGGGGGAATTGGGGCAGGTTAGATAACATCCACCAAAACATGGTATGAAGGGGCCGGCACTGTGGTGTAGAGGATAAAGCTGCCATCAACAGTGCCAGCATCCCATATAGGTGCTGGTTCAAGACCTGGCTGCTCCACTTCTAATCCAGCTCTCTACTATGGACTGGAAAAGCACTAGAAGATGGCCCAAGTCCTTGGGCGCCTGCACTCACATGGGAGACCTGGAAGAAACACCTGGCTCCTGGCTTAGGATCAGCCCAGCTCTGGTTGTTGCAGCCATTTGGGGAATGAACCAGCAGATGGAAAAATCTCTCTCTCTCTGCCTCTGCCTCCCTATAACTCTGTCTTTCAAATAAATTAATACATCATTAAATTATGAAATGAAAACCTAGCATAGGCCAGACAAATGTTAAAAGAAGTCTAACAATAAATTAGAAACATTAAGGAAGCAATCATAATATTATGAACATATTTGGAACATTGCCCTTGTTTTCCAGAATATTTTAATTTTTCTGCCTGCCAAACTTTTAAGTGCATTATTTAAGATACTTTGAATTTAGGCATGTAAATAAGACTTTATCTAGAGTTCTGTGTGTGTTGGGAGAGCAGTAGTTTGGGTTTCTAATTTCTTATAATGAATAAAGAACTTTCCCATATTCAGTTGATTATCTATGAGAGATAATATAACAGGAAATATTTGTTCCTTATTGTTGCAGTGGATTTGTTCCTGAGAGGAGGAGTGTGGTGGGGGCAAGAGGCGCGGAGTCACCACACAGACCCCGGAAGCTGGGTGAAAGTGGGCCAGAGGCGAGCAGCCTGCAGACTCGTTTATGTCAGTTGGTACAACAGCTTATATAGCCAAGACAGCCAATCTGGTCAAGGGGCGGTTTATGCCCTATCCAATCACAGCCTGTTGCCAGGCAGGCTCTGAAGCCATCCAATCACAGCCTGTTGCCAGGCAGGCTCCGTTGTCAGGTGGGTTTCAAAGTCATTCCTGAGTAACTGAGCTTACTTGCCAGCGGCCATCTTGGCATGGCCTTCTCATTCCAACACACCTTATGCTCAGAATATACCTTTGAATATATTTACCTTTTCCTTCTACTGAATTGGATTTTCAGTTTTACAGTCTATTCATGTACAAATATTGCTCATCTATGAGTTACATATGTAATCTATTTTTCTAATTTTTAAATACACCAAAATAAAATTGAAACAGCCTCTCATTTCCCATCTGTAATTTCATATGAGACCAGCATTGAAAAAAAATTGTACCCCTCTTGTTTTAGAGATATAAAATAACAGTAATTTATGTTTTCATTCTTATTTCCACTTGTCAGATTTGGTATTTTGAATTTTATATAAGTAAACTAATATGAAGTCCGTATTAAGGAGGCATTTTCTCTCCTCCTTAATTGTATGCCTTATGAAATCAGGTTGTACATTTTTGAATTTTCCCTTACGTATAGATTAACTAATAAAGGCAAGTTGTAATTTTATGCTTTTGTCATCCAATTATTCCAGAATTGCTATCATGTGACCTTCTCAAATTAGAGAATTGAAAGAATAAATAAACAAGAAGTTCATTTACTGAGATATTAATCCTTGATCCTGAAGGCTTCACATCTAACTTCTCAAAGTTGATGGTGTTATTATCTTAAATCCTTATACCCTTGCTGTTTACCTAAATCTGCTAATTTATTAAGGATTATGTATCAGAGAAAAATACCCTTAGGGAATTCAAGAAGTGAGACAATCACTCTGGAAAATTTAGAGTGTTTAAGCCTTTAACAACACCATGAATGCATGGCTTCCAGGATATGAGTCAGAGGACTGACTCATATATCCATTTTTGGGTATCTATCACGTAGATATCCTTGTTCTATCCCATGTCTTATAAGGTTCTTAAAATTTTGAAAAAAGAAAACAATTTTTTGTCCTTTCCAGAAATCGTTACAAACAAAATGAAACTATGCCCATTGTAAATGAACTATAGATGAAATGGTACTAGAATCCTTGCCTGAAGAGCCAGAAACAAATGGCAATGCCACATTTGTATGTCAAGGAGGAATAATATTGGGCTTAGAACTGAAACACTTGGGTTCCAGAATTTGACACATACTATAGGCATATATATATACTTAAATTTCTTAATAATGTATATACACATATAATGTTTATATATGTATAATAATGTATATATACATTTGTACATGTGTATATACATATATTATGAAGAAATTTTAGGCTACTGAGTTTCTTTATCTCCTGGGTAGCTACTTGATTCCAAGTGACTTGACATTATTGATTTTGGAATCTTCATTTATGATCAGGGACAAACATAAATTATCTTGTTATTCTTCTCTGGTTGAATACTTGACAAAAAGAAAATAAAAAAACTCGGGTTTTAAATATTGCATTATATAGTCTAATTATGTTTCTCTTCCCCTCTCCCTTGTATTCCTACTTTGACACCTAACCATGATTTTATAATTGTAGAAGATGAGGGGAAGTGATGGGACCTCATGAACAGGGTTAGTGTCTTTGTCAAGGAGGACCCAGAGTGCTTGTTGACCCCTTCCATCAGGTAGAGACATGTTAAGAAGGTACCAGCTGTGAACAGGTCCACACTAGACACCAAATATGCTGGTACCCTGATTTTGAATATATCAACCTTCAAAGCTATGAGAAATAAAGTTCTGTCTACAAAACACCCAGCTTATTGTATTTTTCTTCTGGCATTCTACATGGACTAACACACCAGAATAATAAAAAAATTTTCAGTGTAATAGTGTGGTGAGTAACTTATGACGTTACCATAATTTATGGCATTTTGTAATAAACTAAAGCACTAGTTTCTGATCCTAGAATCACTTTAAAAGAATTAAAAAATTACTTTACCCATTTAGTCTTCTGTACCTATGAAGAAAAGAGCAATATGGGCAGTAGATTGTAGCACTTAAAGAGCATTTCTAGCATCCTAGGGCTTTTGATGGGTAGCTCCTAAAATGTTCATGGGATTCTATTGTTCACACATTGAATGTTCATAAACTGGGAGAAGGGATGCCCTTCTCTGGTTATGATAAATATTGGTTTATAGATATTTATAACTACAGAGATTTGTGAATCTCAAATAAATTTTTAATTATTAAGCTATAACTTCAACTTTATAAAATAAGAGGGTTGGATGATCTTTTGATTATCTCCAAAGGAGTAGTGGAGTATTTATGGCAAATGTTATGTCATAATTGAATTTGAACTGGAGGATAAATGATAAGTAGTAATAAAACAGATGAGGAGAAAAGCAGAAAGCAGACTCACAAGGGAATATTTAAAAACAGGATATCAAAGTGGATACAAGCACGGTGTCTGTAGAACAGTAAACACTTCAGTATGATTAATGATCATTCTCCATAACTTTGATCAAACGTTAACAGAGATTCCTGTGAGATCCGTGATGGAACTATTTAATCCAAATCCCTGGATCATTTAATCCAGTACTGTTCTTGGAATAAGATGGTTTCGTTCAGATTTGTGTTGATTCTTAAAGCATGTCATTTTGGTGCTTTGCAAAGTCTAAGACATTGGACAGTGGTTTTGTTCTGGTTTTGTAATTTGATGTTTGGTATCTTCACTACTCCTCATGTCTGGTCCTAGTTTGAGTAGAAAAAACTTAGACTGAATTTTTCCACTGAAAATTGTTTTTTGTCATAACTTTCTGTTACAAAAATTATGTAAACATATACATAAAGGAAAAACTTGCTGTCTTTGTTTTAAAGTTTTGGTTTTATTTCTCCGAATTCAAATGAAATATTCAGTGAAAATTGAGCATCAACCAAATTATGTTAATCAGACTAGCCAACAATGATTCATCCTACTCATGGAAATCAGTTTGGGTGTTCCAGTATTTTGTATAATTGCTTATCTTTTATATCTTGACCAAGTATTCTGAACAACTACTATTTCCGTAAGCTAGGTTTACCTTTTGATTTTAGCTGAGAAAAGAAGAACTGCCACTTTTATTTTATGGTATGTGCATGTTCACGATGGGATTTTAGTTGTAGTTTTCTCCCTGTTAGTACCATCATCACATTTTCAGACATGGAAAGAACCTTACAGTTACTAAGTATGTCAGCATCCCAACCCCAGTCATTATACGGATGCAGAACTGAGTGCAAAGAAAAACCAATTACCAGATGATGTTGGCTCTGGTTTTGGTCCTGTCACATAATTCTTGATAATCTTCATTTGTCTAAGTGTAATAGTGATGAGACTTCTAAAATTTTCAATGCCTCAGGGCTCCATTCCATACAGGCATTTTATGTGCTTCACATAATCCAGTTCAAGACATTAAAGTCTATATCTTAATGAGCTTTAGCTTTTGTTTCTAATCCATACATATTCCTTGATCTCCAGATGAACGTATCTAGGTGTCTAATCAACATCTCTAGCTAGTTATAAACAGACATCTTCAACTTTCTGTTATGAGTTAAATGTTTGTATTTCCTCAAAATTCACACATTGAATTCCTAATTCCCAAGGTCTTCAAATTTTCAGGTGAGACCTCTGATAGGAAATTAATGTTGATTAGGTAAATCTACATTGATTTCATAATGCCATTAAGAGAATTGGAAACACAATCTCATTCCCGCTCCCTACCTACTATGTATTCACAGCATTTGGGATGCAAACAGAGAAGAATGCCTCTTCAAAGCAGGAATAGTATCCTACACAGGCACCAGAGATACTGGTCCCTTGATTAGACTTCCTAGCCTTGAGAATAGCGAGATAAAAATGCCTGCTGCTATGTTAAGTCACTATGTCCATAGCAATATGTTTTACCATTTCAAATTGGTAATAGATTATCTAAAACTGAATCTGTATTGTCTGATAAGTATTTGCTCTTCTTCAGGCCTTCCTCATCTGAGTGAATGGAAATTTCATTCTAGTTGCTTATGCAAAGATAACAAAGAAAAACTTGGTGTCAAATTGATCAAATACTGACACATTATAAAATCCAATCAGTCAAAAGTATATCCAGGACTTGAGCATTCTCATTACTTCCTCTATAATCACTCAGTTCCTAGGCAGTACTACTTTTTACCTCTTAAAACTTCAATGGAATACTAGTTGATCCATCTACCTGTTATTGCCTCTTGAATTCTTCTCAAAGCAGTATTCATATTTTTCTTTGAGATGAAATGTCAGCTTACAGTATGTTTTCTTTTATTGATCCCCAAAGGGTTGTCACTTTGCTTTTCATCTACAAAGTACTGTGTGTGTCTATATCCCCTCTTTTAATCCCATCTTCCTGACTCCTATCACATTCAGGATCACTTATAATATTTCTATTTTATTAGTCTTGGCACTGTTTCTTGAATATTCCAGGCATCTCCCCTCCTGTTCCCTCTGCTTGGTTGAATCTTATTTGAATGTCTTTTCGGTCTCTGCTCTAATGTTGCCCTTTGTAAATGTAGCACCTACATACTGCCTTCCCTTCAACTCTGCTTTAATTCTGTCTATAGTACTTGTTACCACCTTGTAGTCTGTATTTACTTATTTGTTTATTGTCTGTCTCCCCCTACTGGACTGATCCATAAACACAGATACTTTTCTCCATTAATGCTCATCAGTAGCTGGAACTGTACTTTCACAAGTACTTGCTCAGTAAATATTCACTGACTGATTGAATTTCTCTCCATTATTCTACATATTTATACTGTGTAAGAAATGACTTCCCTTTCTGTATGCTCAAATCATACTTACTTTTCAAGGCTGTTTATATGCAAGCATCCTATGCACTGGAAGTTATATTAGTCCTTGGAATATTGATAATTCTTTATAAATGTAATGTGGTTAGCTCATTTAGTGTATACTAAGTAAGCATATATTTACATAGTAAGTATAGATTCTTCTCAACCTATGATAAGATTGTATACTGATAAACTCATTATGGGTTGAAAATACCATAAGCAAAAATGCATTTAATATACTTATTCTGCTGAACATAATAGCTTAACAAGACAGCACACTGCAGAATACCAGTTGTTTACCCTCCTGTTTGCTGTGGCTTGCTGATGTCACCTATCAGTAGTCCAGGAAACAAAATAAAAGTTCAACATATCTATTCTGTTGAATGTTTATGCATATCATTTTCACACCATTGAAAAGTCAAAATATTGTAAGTTGAACAATTACAAGTCTGGACTGTTTGCGCCATCTATCCCCTTCTCCTTCTACTCCAGATACTAAGTCATAGGAGCTCTTCAATAATTGCTTTGGCTGTTGCTGCTTTATTTCTTAGATTTTTATATGGCTTGTTGTTATATAAATTGGTAACTAAAGTATCAACTCAAGTATCACATATAAACAAGCCAAAGATGGGAACAAGGAATTCAATTTGTGTCACTCACACAGATGGCAGGGAGCCAAGTACTTGAGACATCACTTGCAGCTCTCCAATTAACTGGAAGCTGGAATCTGAAGTGAACACAGGACTTCTTTGCCCACTGTCTTGGTCAGTTCAGCCTGTTATAACAACATACAACTGACTGAATGGTTTAAAACAATAGATATTTATTTCTGAAACTTTTGGAGATTATAAAGAGCAAGATCAAGGTGCCAAGAAACCTAATGTCTGACATGGGCTTGTTTCCCATTTCATTGTCTTCTAGCTGTCATCTGACAATGTGGATGTGGTGAATGCTTTCCACACCCACCTCCCTGTGAGGACTTTAATCCTATTTCTGAGGACTCTATCTTCACAAAAGAATCTCCTCCGAAAAGGCCTCACATCCTAATATCATCACCCTTGGAATTAGAACTTTAACATAAAAACTTTAGGTGAACTCAGTTTTTAGACCATAATGTACATCTCATCTAATATCAAATCAATCTAAGTTTCCATCTTCATAGCACTGATATACTATGGGAAGTTATATTTTGAACTGTGTTTGTTATGCGTATTTTCTCTCCTTTTCTTTCTCACCTGTTGCCTCCTGTACCAGCATAATCCGTGTCATACACATCTAGGATACGGAGTTCATAGAGAGCTTGAGCCTTATTTCTATTGCTGTGCTTGTTATGCCTGAAATGGGCACCAAGAAGAAACTAAATTAACACTTATTAAGGTTTTTAAAAGCTTATTACTTTGCTTGGTTTTTAAAAATCATCACTATTTTGGTTTATTATTCTTCAGTAGCAATATTTCAAAGTTTATGATTTGCTCAGGATTTCTTGTTGCTCATTCCTTCATCATCTATTCAAGTAAAGAAGGAATGCACAGTTTCTAGAGCACGTCTTTAAAGGCGAGTCCAAAAATGAGCCGATATTGATGGATAAGGTCACCTGTAGCCCATTACATTTGTGAAAGGCTGAACTGAGTTCCTGAAACTTACATTCCTACTCTTCAAGCATTTTATGCTGATGCAGTTGATGAGCATTAATAGTTTCAAAGAGGGAGTAGTCTGACAATAATCCATGAAATATTTAAAAATTACTAGTCTAGGGTGGGAATATACAGTAATATTCCAAGTCACTCAGATTTAAGAACCTTGGTATTTTGTGGTGTATGTGGTTTTCAATGCTTTATTATATGTACATTTATTAAGATCTTCATGAGACTAAGAAAAAAAGCCTACGTAAACATATAGAATTGACACCATGGAAACATATCCAGTTTGAAGGGTTTTATACTTAGCTGTCTGGATGTTTTTCCATTGTGGTTGACGTTTGCTGAAGACAAATGGAAATATCTTGTTTTAATAGGAAGCTTTCTGGGTTCCTTCCAAGCAGAAGCAAGCTCTTCTTGCTTTTAACACTAAAGCCTTCTATTTCTCTTTCAACAATATGTCATTTTCTTCTTTATATTATAGTTTGCTTCATTACTCATGAGAAATGTATATTCTTACTAAGCTCTGTATTTTTCATCACTTCCTATTGTCTCCTATAATTTGATGTACATAGAAATTATTCAATATATATTTTTGGCATATATAAATAACAACCTGTGTGTATACATTTTCTCTTTATACTTTCAGAATCAACATTCCTAGGGAGAGAATAACAATAATTAACATTTTAATTAAATATCTTCCTTCAAGAAAGGCAAATTCACATAGGATCATGCCAAACAGATAAACAGATTTCTAGGAAGCTGAAATGTCTGCCGAGCTCCCTATGCGTAAGTTTTTAATTAATAGCATGATGTGTTTAGTATTAATCTACAAACAACTGTAGGAAAGTCCAACAAAATATGTGAATCTTTTATTTTAAACAATTTCTTCATTTATTTTTATTTTATTTGAAAGTGGTGGGGGGGGGGAACAGGGGAGAGAGAAAGAAAGAGAGAGAGAGAATGTTCCATTTGCTGGTTCACTCTTCAAATGCCCACAACAGCTAGGTCTGGGCCAGGTCAAACTGGGAGCTGAAAATTCAACATAGGTCATTGGTATGCATTGTAGGAACTTGAGCACTTGATCTATCAGTTGCTTTCCTCCAAGGTGAACATTCATAGGAAGCTGTAATCTGAAGCAGGGCTGGGACTTAAAGCTAGGTCCTTCCCTATAGGATGTTGGTGTCCCCAGTAACATTTTAATCCCTGTGACAAATGTCTGTCCCTGTAAATCTCTTTTCTACATTATGGTATAATGATAAGCAAGATATTTATAAAACATTTGGATATAGAAGTGTGGAATATGAATAGAATCATGTACAGTCACTTACAGTGACTAAAAACAGGTCTAAAGACTGGAAATTTAAGGACACTTTTAGGAATGGCAAGTTAATTTAAAAAAGTCGGTGATAATATTTATGCCTCTGAAATGTCTAATGCACATCATAGTCAGGTGATTTTAGTTATTGTGAATTCCCCATACTATAGAACACAGACTTGGGCATACAGAAAAGTCTTTTCTGTGAAATTCTTATTGACCTATTGTTGGATATAAAGCACAATGAAAATATAGTGAAGAGGCATGCTAGAAGGAACTGAGGAGATATAATATGTTTCTTTTTGGGTTTTCCAGTCTATATTTTTGTGCCATCACTGTATGTGTCCAACATTATTTGCTTACTTCTTTAATTATCATTTTATATTGTTTGTTTCTTGGTATGGGTTGATGCAGGTCATATAAATTTTCCTACTTTTTAATTCTACACTTAAAATAATATTATAATTGTGGTAAAATACATATATCATAAATTTACCATTTTAACCATTTTATGCATGCAATTCATTGGCATTAAGTACAATCACATAATACAACCATCACCACATCCATTTCCAAAGTTTTTTTTCTTCCTATACTGAAAATATTACCTATTAAACACTAAATTCTCATTCATCCTTTCATCCATGTCCTGGTATCTGAATTCTAATTTACATGTTAATGATTTTTGACTACTTTTGATATTTTATACTAGTGGAATTGCAAAGTTTATTTTTTCCACTGATTTATTTAATTAGTATAGTAATGTCCTCAAGATTTATATATGTTGAAGCATGTGCAAGAGTTTCCTTTCCTTTTAAGGCTGAATAGCATTCCATCATATGTGCATGCCACATTTAAAATGTGTATATTTTTAGCATCTACTATGACTGAATAGTGAGAAGCTGCACTGATCTCAGAAAGATAACAGAAAAACAAAAGAAGGACCATTTTCCCGGGGACAGACTGACAGACGCTTTCAGCGGAGAAGTGACAGAACAGAACAAAGACTCTGGGGCAGAGAGGAAACAGGACAAACCCACTGACATGGCCAGCCAAGCCACTAGCCAGCACTGCATCCATTCAGCTGCTGTCATCTGGGATATGCCATCTTCCCCAGACAAGGTAGGAAGATTGCTGTGGTGCCTCAACACCACCAGCTCAAACTGGGGCTCTGAGAAGCTGCTCTGATCTGAAAAGTGAAATCACATTGTCTTGTCCCCTCCCTACCAAGTCTCAAAGTGCCAGTCTCAGATGGGTTTCACATGGTCTTCGCAGAACTGTGGTCTGATTCAGCAAATAGCACACATTCACACAGCTACCAAAAGCAACAAGAGTTAGAATCAGAACAATTTATAGGGCAGTGGGCTGATCGCATGCATTCTGCAAATGTGGGAATTCTGGTCATAAGCCCTGAACCTGTGCTCGCTCAGTCTATGTAATCCAGGGGCTTCCCCCTCAGTTTATTGGGGCTAGCACCAACAACAGTCCATAGAAAATCTGATCCTGATCTGAGGTTACTTATAGACACCATTGATATTGATGAAAGCAAAATAAATCGCTCAACTGTTATACTGCTGGGCTAGCATAGAACCAATGCCAAAGCAACAAGACAAATGATACCCTGAATTCCATCTAAACAATATTTTTTTAAAAAATAAAACCTACTCCATAAATAAGGAGGAAGCATTATACCACATCCACACATCAACATAGGAACACAAAAAATTTGAATAAGCAAGGTAGGATGACACCTCCAAAAGAACACACTAGTTCTCCAGAAATAGATACTGATTTGAAGGAGATCTATGAAATGCCAGAAATGGATTTCAAAGTACTGATTATAAGGAAACTCAATGTGAGAAAATATGGAATATTTAAACAAACAAGGAAATCAATAGGTGACATGAATGAAGAATTAACTATAGAGTTGCAAACCATTAAGAAGAACCAAATCAGCCTGGTGTTGTGATGTAGTGAGTTAAACCACCATGATAGCACCAGCATCCCATATTGGTGATGGTTTGAGTCCCAGCTGCTCCATTTTTGATCCAGTTCCTAGCTAATGTGCCTGGAAAAGCAGTGGAGGATGGCCCAAGTGTTTGAGCTCTTGAACCCATGTGGGAGACCCAGAAGAAGCTCTTGACTTCTGGCTTTGGCCTGGCCCAGTCTCGGCTGTTGTGGTCATTTGAGGAATGGACCAGCAGATGGAAGACCTCTCTCTCCATCTCTCCTTTGCTCTCTCTGTATCTCTGAATTTCAAATAAGTAAAACAAATTACATTTAAAAAGGTCTAAATAAACATTAGGGTGCAGACCACTTTTTTGTTTGCCAATTTAAATTCCTTTGGGTAAATTCCAAGGAGTGGGATGGCTGGGTCGAACGGTAGGGTTATCTTCAGGTTTCTGAGGAATCTCCAGACTGACTTCCATAGTGGCTTGACCAGTTTGCATTCCCACCAACAGTGGGTTAGTGTCCCTTTTTCCCCACATCCTCGCCAGCATCTGTTGTTGGTAGATTTCTGCATGTGAGCCATTCTAACCGGGGTGAGGTGAAACCTCATTGTGGTTTTGATTTGCATTTCCCTGATTGCTAATGACCTTGAACATTTTTTCATGTGCCTGTTAGACATTTGTATTTCCTCTTTTGAAAAATGTCTATTGAGGTCCTTGGCCCATCTCTTAAGTGGGTTGTTTGTTTTGTTTTTGTGGAGTTTCTTGATCTCTTTGTAGATTCTGGTTATTAACCCTTTATCTGTTGCATAGTTTGCAAATATTTTTTCTGCACCCTAATGTTTATTGCAGCTCAATTCACAATAACTAAGACCTGGAACCAACCTAAATGCCCATCAACGGTAGACTGGATAAAGAAATTATGGGATATGTACTCTTTAGAATACTATACCGCAGTAAGAAACAATGAAATCCAGTCATTTGCAACAAAATGGAGGAATCTGGAACACATCATGCTGAGTGAAATAAGCCAGTCCCAAAGGGACAAATACCATATGTTCTCCCTGATTGGTGACAACTGACTGAACACCAAAAAGGAAACCTGTTGAAGTGAAATGGACACTATGGGAAACGGTGACTTGATCAGCATAGCCCTGACTGTTAATGAACAACTTAATACATTATCCCTCTTAGTAGTTTTTTTTGTCTGTTCTACTTAATATGACTGGTTTAATTCTGTAATTAATACAAAGTTATTCTTAAGTGTTGAAAATTAACTGAAATGTGATCCCTGTTAAACATAAGAGTGGGAATAAGAGAGGGAAGAGATGTATAATTTGGGACATGCTCAAGCTGACTTGCCCCAAATGGTAGAGTTAGAAACATACCAGGGGATTCCAATTCAATCCCATCAAGGTGGCATGTACCAATGCCATCTCACTATTCCAAGTGATCAATTTCAGTTCACAATTGATCATAATGAAAGGACTAAGAGTCAAAGGGAGCACATAAACAAGACTAGTGTCTGCTAATACTAACCGATAGAATAAATAAAGGGGAGAGTGATCCAACATGGGAAGTGAGATACTCAGCAGACTCATAGAATGGCAGATGTCCTAAATAGCACTCTGGCCTCAGAATCAGCCCTAAAGGCATTCCGATCTGGCTGAAAAGCCCATGAGAGTATTTCAGGCATGGAAAGCCAAGACACTCTGGCAAAAGATCTCTGTGAGTCAGATCCCAGTGGAAAGAACAGGTCTTCAAAGAAGGAGGTACCTTTCTCTGAAGGGAGGAGAGAACCTCCACTTTGACTATGACCTTGTCTAAACAAGATAAGAATCGGAGAACTCAGAGGGCTTCCATAGCCTTGGAAACTCATAACTGGTGCATAGGGAGATTACTGATGCCATAGACAGGAGTGTCAATTGGTAAAGTCAACAACAGGAGTCACTGTGCACTTACTCCTCGTGTGGGATCTCTGTCCTTAATGTTCTGTGCATTGAGATTTGGTGCTATAACGAGTACTCAAACAATATGTTTCACTTTGTGTTTCTATGGGGGTGCAAACTGTTGAAATCTTTACTTAATGCATACTAAACTGATCTTCTGTATATTAGGATAATCGAAAGTGAATCTTGATGTGAATGGAAGGGGAGAGGGAGTGGGAGGGGGGAGGGTTGTGGGTGGGAGGGACGGTATGGGGGGGAAGCCATTGTAATCCATAAATCGTACTTTGGAAATTTATATTCATTAAATAAAAGTTAAAAAAAAAGAAAAAAAAAGGTCTAAATAAATTATCTAAAGATGCATTTAAAGGATTTAGAAAAGCAATAAACCAAACTCCACATTAGCAGGCGGTGAGAAATAATGATTGGAGAAGGAATAAATGAATTGAAATTTTAAAAAAAAATCAAAAGAACAAGAAAACAAAAAGTTATTTTTTGAGAACATAAAAAAAATTTACTAACCCTTAGCCATACTATCAAAGATAAAAAAGAGAAAAAACTCAAATAAGAGATGAAAATAGATACATTATAACTGACACAAATGAAATACAAAAGATCGTAACAAAACTAGCAAGAACAACCATGTGATAACAAATTAGAGGGCCTCAAAGAAATAGATAAATTCCTGGATACATATAACCTACCAAGGTTAAATAAAGAAGGTATAGATAATCTAAACAGACCTATAACAAGCAAGAAGATTGAAGCAGTAATTAAAAGTCTATCATGGAAAGTACATAATATGATGGCTTTACTACTGACTACTACAAAACATTTAAAGAAAAACTAACAATAATACTTTAAAACCATCCCAAAATACTGAACAAGATCAAACACTATGAAACTATAAATGAGGCCAGCAACACTCTGATGATACCAGAACTGAACAAAGATATAACATGAAAACTACAGAATTATATCCTTGCTGAACATAGATACAAAATTTCTCAATATACTAGCAAATTGCATGTAATACCAGATCAAAAAGATCATACATCCTGATCAAGTGTGATTTATCCCAGAGATGCTAGGGTTATTCAAAATTTGCAAATCAATAAATTTCATAAATTACATAAACAGAATGAAAAGCAAAAATGATATGGTCATCTCAATAGACACAAATAAAGCATTTAAGGTTCAACATCCATTCATGATAAAAAAAAAAAACTCTTCACAAATTAGGCACAGAAGGAACATATCTCAAAATTATAAAGGCTATATATATGACTACCCAAGAGTAATGGCATACTGATTGTGGAAAAATTGAAAGCATTTCTCCTCAGAACTGGACAAAGACGAGGATGCCCACTTTCACCCCCATTATTCAGTATAGTATTGGATATTTTAGCAAGAGCACTTAGGGATGAGAAAGAAATAGAGGACATGGAGGTGATATTATCCTATGCATAGGGTAACCAAAAGACTCCACTAAGAAACTATTGGAACTCACAAGTGTGTGAAATCAGCTCACCTGGGACCACCTATCCATCAAATGATAAACGCATAAAAATGAAGGAAGTAGAAGGTGAGGCTTTTATTGATTCCTGGTCTTGAGAGCTGTGACCAGCCAAAGGAAGCAGGCACTGCACTTGGAAATTCAGCTTTTATCCTAATCACACAGATTTATTTCCCAGTTATCGTTGGTTGGGAAACTTGGGAGGTACAACCTGACCCTGACATTGCTCCCAAAGCAGGGTTGGGGGTAACGGGATGAGTGTTGCTGAACTGATTTAGGACAGAGGAGCTGGGTATAGAAGTTACACTGTGGTATCAGCAAGGCCAATGCAATTCCAGAAACTGAGACTCAAGAGCACTTTGTAACAAGCTGCAAAGTAAGTTCAGCAATTGACCTACTCTGGGGTTCTTACCACTCTCTATCCTATGTGCTACAGAGGCCTAGTATCATAGCCACACTAAGGCTAAGCTAAGACTTCTATGAAAATAACTGTGGTCATTTCTCACAATAAGAGAGTTTGGCAAACTGAAGTATATAAAATCAACACACAAAAATCAATAGTATTTGTATACACAAACAATGCCATGGCTGAGAAAGAAATTGTAAGGTTTGTCCCATTCACAATAGCTACAAAAGACTTAAATACCTTGCAATCAATTTCACCAAGAATGTGAAAGATCTCTAAAATGGAAATTATAAAACATTAAGGAA